TACGTCCTCTGCAATTAGCCATGAGAAAAAATACCACACTACTCTGCTTTCATTAAAAACTTAATATAACAGCCACCAAGAAAAACGTCTAATTAAAATAAAAAGAAAAATTAAATGTAAAAAAATCTGTAGAAATATAACCCCGGGGGCATTTAAGAGATGCCATTTCATAGCAGCTGTTCTGCTGTCGATGGTACGACTCTGATTAAAGCTTCATGAAGGCTTTTAGCACGTCCTGCAGATGGAGGCAGCTTCTCATGGAGGCTGCGTCCCACTCAAGCCTGGACATCACTTTGGATGCCTTAACTGGAAGCTCGCATTTGGGCTCGTCATGAACATGTCAGTTTGGCTGAAGTGATGCATCTGCTCAGCTGATAAGCAGCATATGCGAGCAATGCGACGGAAGCTGGGATGCGAGCGCATGCCTATAGGCGCCGCATGTGTCCACCTGTCCCTTATGTCCTTACAGCGGGGTAAAAGCGCAAGGACTCCCCTACTGGCCTGAATGGTGGAGATGCTCCATTGTACACCCTCGGCTAACGCCTCTGGCTGCGTCGCTGCCCCCTGCAGGACAGCGGTCGCCCCACTCTGCCTTGCTCAGGCACAGAGCAGCTCTTTCGGACTGCAATTCCAAACAGATCAAATGTGTCCCGGCCTTGCCTATCTGCTGCCCTCGCCCCTCTGGGACCGGCTCTCTCCGGAACGTTCCGATTCACCGGTCTATCTATTTCCTCTTTATTGACAATGTAAGTGGTAATTAAGACCGGATACAACCAGTCAGGGCGGGATGGAATCCTGACACAGATCCCTCAAAGCCGTCCTGAGATGGATGTGTGTGTGTGTGTTTGTGCTTACCTGGGGGAGCCCAGCATGCCCCCCCCCCCGCTCCTGGGCAGAGCCTAAGCAGCCCACAAGAGAGCTAGTCGCCTACTGCCAACATCTCAGCACCATGCCTCCTGACCCAGAACTTTCCACACTGAAGTATGAAGCTGCAAACTGCGCCACCATCATCTCATCCGTCCTCTTCTGATATTTGCGACCCCCTGCTGCATGACCCAGGTCCGTAAATACAGGTCTCCATCGCGTTATTCTGGCACAGCACCATGGCGCGCAGAAACCACGGAATAAAAACCAGGCAAGCCTCACATGTTCAGCTTCTGCAATGTGGGACGCGTCCTCCACCTCCTCCTGGAAGACCTCGGTGACAGCACTCTGTATTTTGGATTTGCTATTGGACAGATGGTACATCCCACAGTGACGCTGTCTGTGAATCTATCACCTAATATCAGTGTCTGCCATCTTAGCCCATATATCAGGCAAATCCAAATATGTTATGGCACAGAAATCGTGAATCGTGGGACATGGAGGTTGATTTTGCTCAAATCAGACAATAAAGGGAATATGAAAATATATCTAAAAAACCTACACCAGGAAAGAAATGCTTTAAAAATGAATCTGGGTATCTGGCAGGCTTATGTTTTAATAATCTAGTATTAATTTTGCAATAGAAATATCTTCCAGAAACAGAAATGTCAAAGGCGGGGAGAGGAAATTGACACTGTGGGGAGAGTTGCAGAATGCAGCAGGAACGGTAACGTAAGGGGTGAGGACCAATCAGGAGCTCCCTCCCAGTCCCGATGGCTCCGCCCTTGCTTTCACAGAGACACTCATTATTAAGCTTGATAAAGAGCTTGTTTAATGTCACGCAACTGTTTTCCGTTTCTCATAAAAGAAGGAATGAGGGACCACAGGCACAAGATGTATATGTGTGGGTGTGTTTACAGCACACGCACACATATACGCGCACATGGACACACGCGCAGGGTGCAGACAGCATGGAGACGAGTGCTCATACCGCCTTGGTGGCATTCTGAGACACGCTCCCTTTTCATGTGGAAAAACGGGGCTGACAGTTAATTAGTAAACGAGGTCACTGGCTGGATACGGATCGCATGTCTATTAATGTTCCTGGCCTGACAGTGGCTAGTGCACTGCAATCAGGGAGCGTACTACAGCATACACAGGCACCTGACAGTGGCTAGTGCACTGCAATCAGGGAGCGTACTACAGCATACACAGGCACCTGA